AAACCATCTGCTTGGGAAGAGTTAGATATTAATTTAATAGTATCGGATGCTCCACAATTTATTTCAGCGTTAGATATAAAAGCACACACAAAAAATGACCCGGTATTATCAAAGGTTACACGTTATCTTACAACTGGATGGCCAAAGAGAATAGAGGGAAATCTAAAACCGTTTTTTCAGCGCCGAAATGAACTCACGATGGAGGCAGGGTGTATATTATGGGGCTTAAGAACCATAATTCCAAAAAAATTACAAGTAAATATTTTGTCTTTTTTACATATGGGGCATCAGGGTTATACTAAAACAAAATTATTGGCACAAGAGAACGTTTGGTGGCCGAATATTAACGAAGATATCAATTACACGGTAAGAATTGTGAATTATGTCAAACAAATAATCCTGGCAATAAAACGATCATAGGGAAATGGCCCTCAGCAAATAAACCATGGGGAAGAATTCATTTAGATTTTGCCGGACCAATTAACGGAGATATATAAATGGCCTGAAATACAAAAAATGACGACGAATAATTTTACTGAAGTAAGAAAATTGTTGTTAAGACTTTTTGCTATTTTCGGTTACCCCAATACGATTGTTACGGATAATGGCCCCCCATTTCAAAGTAGAGAATTTAGTTTATTTTGCAAACAATTATCAATTAAAAATGTATATAGTGCCCTATACCACCCTAGAACCAACGGAGAAGCGGAGCGATTAGTACAAACTTTTAAAAATTTTTTTAAAAAACATAATGATTATAATAAAATACAAAATTTTTTGTTTAATTATCGAAATACGCCACAAATAACCAAAACAATCACCAAGTTCAATTATGCTTAAATTTCAACCCATAGGACCTTTACAATTAATAAAACCAGTTTATCCTCATCCATATATACCTCAGTTACCAGGTTTATAAATGAAAAAATATATGCAAAGGATTTTAAAAAAGATAATTGGATACCAGGTATCATCGTTAAAAGAACAGGACCAATGACGTTTTTAGTTGAAACTAAATTAGGGGTATGGAGAAGACATATTAATCAGTTAAAACATAGGTTCGACAACTCTGATTTAAAAAATAGAGAGGAGGGAAGAGAAGATGCAAACTACACCACAAATGAATGAAAATGAGCCTATACAAAACGCAATGACTAAAGACATTGATCCAATACAAGACTCAATAAACAAAAACACTATCATAAATGATAAGATGAAAATCGACAGTAATGAGCAAACGGTGGTAGAGAACGAAAGTACAAGCAGCCGTTATCCAAAACGGATAAGAAAACAATTTATACCGTTTCAAATCGAGAGCCCAAAAAAGGAGAGAATATATGTAATAGAAACAATTAGCCTCAAAGGCAATTAAATATATGATGAATTTTAAATATATATATATTATTAATTGTGTACGACGATTAATTGTTTGTTTTGTAAAAGATATATATACGGCGATAAAAAATAGTTAAAATTACAATAAAATTTGGTATCACTATATGAGTATAGGCCCATTTTGATAGGTAATATTATTTTGCTGTCTAGAATTATTAATTTATTATATATAAAATTTAATTTTGTAACTTGATGATAAAATAGAGCTCAACTTTGGGTTTTCAAGTGTTAAATTTGGTTGTGAGTGGATGCCCATTTTAATTGGTAATATCTTATCATCTATAATTTGAAAGTTCTATTACTGATAAATCAGATTTTCTGGATCTACCTTTTTTTTTCATTTTGAGTGGTAGTTTGATACTTTTTAATTTTTGGAGAGTTTCATCAATATCTACAATTTTCTTAGTCTTAGGCATAATTGATATTGATTTTATGATTGGGATTGTTACATTTGTATCTATATTCCATATTTAAAAATTTATTTATATAAAATATAATCTAACCTTGTATAATGTTTATCTTTGGAATAACTATGGGATTGGGAAATATACTTTGATCCACTTCAATGACATCAAAATATTTTCCAGCTTGAACTATACTATCAAGTTTTTTTAGTTTTTCAATAAATACATCAAAAATTTCTTGAGGAAGCTGAGATGTTAAACTTGAAAAGGGCATCAATATTCGGCCGTGACTAGAGCTAACGCCCGTGATATTTAGTAAAATATACTAAAGCTAACACCCGTGATATTTAGTAAAATATACTAAAGCTAACACCATGATAATTAATAACATTTTATCATGTGACAATTCATTTTCATATGATAACCCGCTTAATTTAAAAATATATTTTAATGTTTCTATTTTTTGAATTAGACAAAGTTAGTAATAATTTTTGTAAATTGATTAATTAATTATTAAAATTTTATTTATAGATATGCCTATAGATGTATAGAACCTCCATAGTCCATACAAGCAATTCAAATTCGGAATTAGACAAAGTTAGTAATAATTTTTGTAAATTGATTAATTAAATATTAAAATTTTATTTACAGATGATACATTTAGGAGCAATATTTTCATCATGTGATTCACTTAGTAGCATTATTAAAGAATATGAGCAGTCATGCCTAGTTAATTTATATATTGCAAGGTCTACATTAAACTCCCATCCTGAAGAGTTCATAAATCTTTTTAAATATCAAAAGGTTTATTATTCTTATAAATGTATAGAACCTCCATACAAGCAATTCAAATTCACTAAAGATTGTTCATTTATATATAGTTACAATAACCATTGATTGTAAAATATTTATAAAATATTAAAATTTTATTTATAGATATGCTTATAAATAGAACCTCCATACAAGCAATTCAAATTCACAAAAGATTGTTCATTTATATATAGTTACAATAACCATTAATTGTAAAATATTTATAAAATATTAAAATTTTATTTATAGATATGCTTATAAATAGAACCTCCATACAAGCAATTCAAATTCACAAAAGATTGTTCATTTATATATAATTACAATAACCATTAATATTAAAATATTTATATGTGCCAATAAAATATAAACAATTTGTAATAAATTTTGAATTTTATCATGTTAATTTAAAAGAATGTAACCAATCTGGCCTAATTTTTTTTTGCTCAATCATAGCCCATTTTTTTCATACTCTAATTGTTTTGTCCCAAACTTAAAATTTAAATATAAAAAGAACCAAAACATTTTTTTGCTTATTTTCTTAATTTGTTTTAATATAAAAAGTTTTAAGCCATACAACCAATAATGATATTTACAATTTTTATCAGAGACCAATACCCAAAAATAAAATTTTTCTAAGTATTTTACACATTTATAAACTGACAAGATGGTTCTGCTAATTTTTCTATTATTTTAATTTACATAACTTAATTTTAAATGAAAAGCAAATAAAAGATAAAATCTAAAAGGTATATATCTTTTTTGTTAAATATATTTCTTTGCTATTTATTTGTATTGGAGAATATGTATTAGTATATTGGCTAAAAAAAATAACTTCAAATAGTGTATAATAATGTACTTTTATTTGTGTATATAGACTAAATATTTATAAAGATGTATTTATAGTAAAAAAAAATATAAAAATTACTTTTGTGTATAAATATAAATAGATAACTAAAACTTTTATAGTAAAAAAATAAGACTAAAAAAAATATTCTCATAAAATGGTTATATATATAAATATATCATTTACAGGACAAAACTAAATTATAATGATAATTTTTATTCTTTATATAAATGCAACAGAAAAATTTTTTTATTTCAGGAATAATAAATAAAGGGTCAAAGGCAAGCCATTTGTCATTATAAAAAACAAACACTCTTGTTTGAAGCAATGTTGAGACACATGCAATTTCCACATCTGTTGCCCATGTGCCACTGCAGCCCATTTTATTCTTCACAATGTAATCAGTAGTTTTTATCCCTATAAATCCAGAAAAGTAGTTGGAATGTTGCATCATAAAAGAAATAATAGCCATCCTGATCATCTCATGATATTCCTCATTATTGCTAATCTCCTTGCTAATACATCTATAATAAGAATTAGTAAGATAATTTAAGTGATAATATAAAATACCTGAATAAACAATTTCCATCACCTAGGACTTGGTCGACCTTATCGGGATCCCCTAAGTTTGTGGATGTTAAATTTTGAGAATTTTGAGGTGCATTTAAGGTTAGGCCTAAAATTTCAGAATGATATTTTTTCCATTCCAATGTTGTTGGCTGAAAAATGAATATTGGATCTTGTGTAGATTGAATTTTTTCTAAAAAAGTTAAAATCATTATTGTCACATTATAAATTTAAAAGTACTGAATGAAGTTTTGAGAGGTCTATATTTATGTGCAATTTGATCCACTAAAATTTAATTTTATAATAGAATATAAAATCTCATAATCATACATATCACATTTGGTCTAGGTAGGTAATTTTCTAAAAATGGAATACAACCCTTTTGATTGGTATTAGAATGTGCTTTATTTACTAAATAAATAAAATAATTTTGTATATTACAACAAACTAAGAGTAAATTTTAAGGTTTGGGGTATATTGTTAGTATCTTTTGTCATTGCATTTTTAACAAAAGTCTTATTTGGTTGTGAGTATAGGCCCATTTTGATAGGTAATATTATTTTGCTGTCTAGAATTATTAATTTATTATATATAAAATTTAATTTTGTAACTTGATGATAAAATAGAGCTCAATTTTGGGTTTTCGACAAGTGTTAAATTTGGTTGTGAGTGGATGCCCATTTTAATTGGTAATATCTTATCTATAATTTGAATTTATTATATAAAATTTAATTATGTTACTTGATGATGATAATTTCCCCTTTTTATTTGAAATTCCTATTACTGATAAATCAGATTTTCTGGATCTACCTTTTTTTTTCATTTTGAGTGGTAGTTTGATACTTTTTAATTTTTGGAGAGTTTCATCAATATCTACAATTTTCTCAGTCTTAGGAATAATTGATATTGATTTTATGATAGGGATTATTACATTTGTATCTATATTCCATATTTAAAAATTTATTTATATAAAATATAATCTAACCTTGTATAATGTTTATCTTTGGAATAACTATGGGATTGGGAAATATACTTTGATTCACTTCAATGATATCAAAATATTTTCCAGCTTGAACTATACTATCAAGTTTTTTTAGTTTTTCGATAAATACATCAAAAATTTCTTGAGGAAGCTGAGATGTTAAACTTGAAAAGGGCATCAATATTCTTTGAACTTGTTTAAATTTTTCATTGGTTGACAAATTTTTTGTGCATGGAAAATCATGATGTTGGGAAATGTTTAAATATGACTGAGACAGAGAAGAATCTTCAGGTGACAATATTGAGCTATCCTGTGTATATTTTTTAGTCCACCTCTCTCCACAGAGATGATTAAGATAAATATCCAATTTTAAGGCAGCATGAAGTGCTAATATGTGGCGACAAGGCAGCTTTATGCAAGTCAAAAAGCCACATGCACATGATTTTAGTGTAATTTTAAATTCTACACCCTTTTCACAGACCAACGCATGGTTTAAAATAGTATCAATATTTAATAGATGTATTTGATTATGAAATGAGATTTCATTTAAAATAATTTTAAAGGCATATGGTGTTAAAAGAATTGAATACAAATTTTCTGGAGTATAACATGCGTAGGTGACACATGGTAGCCTCTCAATACACATTATATTTCTGTGATGCCTTTCAAAGGCTTGAGAACTAACTACTGTTGATAAATCTGAAAAAAGATCATTTAAAGGAGAATATTTATTTACAACTCTTTTAATTTTTTGATTAAGAGATTCTAAACGATTGTTAGTAAAATTGAGCAGATGTGGTGACTCATTTCTCCAATATATCACCCATTCTTTTCTAATAAAGTGCCAATGTGTATTAAAATACAAAGAAACTAAGGGCAATTTTAAATCTATAAGTTTCTCGTAAAGATAATTGTATACATCTTCAGTCTTACTGTATACCATTTTTCCTAGTATTTCCAGCACTGTTTTAACTTCAGATGTAGTAATTTTTCTCTTTTCAGCTGTAATCTCTCTTTTAAATATCCTCAAAGCATGAAAAATACATATGTGAATATTTACTGCTGGGAAACTTTCATAGAAGGCACTTCTATCTGCCATATCTTTATCAGCCACAATAACTTCAAGCTTTGTTAAATTATTATTATGATATTTCATAATATCACACATTTTTTTACACATTTATAGCTTTCACTTTGTACAAGCCAAAGTGGGGTCATTCCACATCAAATGAGCAAAAAAAATGAGATTTTCGGCCGACCCCCTTCGATTTTTTTAAAATTTGGTAAGCAAAGAAAGGTCGATGTAACTAAGAAATAGCCAAAATTTTAGCCTCCTAACATTTATATTTTTGAAGATATTAGGGTTCAAAGTGTCAAAAATGACGTATTTTTACCATTATCTGCCTTCATTCAATTAAGCATATCTTAAAAACTACATAATTGTAAATAACAAATTTAATATCAAAATTACATACAAAGATTCTACTTTTAGATAAAAAAATTTTTTTATTTTTTTTCCCAATTTCCGGTCATTTTATTTAATATATAAGGACTAAAAACGATTTTTTGGAAATAATACGACCTTCAATTTTTTTAAAAAATTTAGTAGACATTATTAAACTCTTCCTTTATATTTATAAAAAAAAATTGGTCTGGGACGCGGCCATCTTCATTCTCAAAATCGATAAAAATGTTTAGAAAAGTGTATAAATATATTCCCGAAAGGGGGCGTCTTTGTATAAAATTATATATTAATCAGTTTTTAATGGTTTTTCTTGGACTATTTGATATAATTTAAAGGATTATTCATCTTGTAAGTGAAAATAACAATAAATGGGGCTTTCATTCAATTATAGAAATTGTCTAACGATAACAGAAATTCAATTTATTACTTTATTTATAATTTATTATAAAAATTTTTGCCCATATAACATATATTTAATAAATATTAATAAAATATGTTTAATTAAGTTTCGAGTTCTTGAATATATGAATCAGAATCTTGTGCATTTCATATATGGCGCCCTAAATATTAAAAAAATTACTATAATTTAAATTTAAACTTACTTTTAAAAGATTCTAATTTTTCGGTAGCGCATTTACTTTCTTGTGACGACAATGTATAGTATAACTACGGCCAGTAGCATTTAACAGTGAAACTAATGTTAAGATATGACATTTGGGCAAGCAAAGAGTGTCGTCTATCTTGGAAATGTAAAGGAATTTGAAGGTCCGGATGGGTGTAGAAACTTTATATATATTTCTTCCTGCTTTTGATTTTTCACTAAAACAAAGCTAACCACCAATTAGAATCATAAAAATAAGTTAGGTATCATGATATTTCTTCAATAATTATACTTGCATCATTATAAGATAACTATTCCAAAGTACTTTCTATTAAATTGGAATATATTTTACTTTTAAATTATGTAGATCTGTTGGAATCAAGGTGTATTTTGTGTGTTCCAGGTATAGATCTAGTTTTTGAAAATCTTTCCCTGAGTAATAGATCTTCGTAATCATAATTTATTTTGGTCATCTATTCAAAATATATGACATTAATATTTTCTTTAGCTAACTCGTACAATTCATATGATGTGTACTTTGAGTAAGGCCTTGTAAACTAGCTCTAGCGGCTAATCTTTTAACAGTGCCACCAATCCCATCACAAACACTTTTCCCGTGTGCTGTAGCAGAAAAATGCCATTTCGCCTGTACCCCGAAATCCATCTCATGATGGCAAATATTAATAAAATTTTTACGTTTTTGTACTGTGCAGCGGATCCACCGAAAAATAAAAAATTTTATTAATTAAAAAATTTAGCAATGTTTTTTTAAAATTATGTACTGCTATTGTATTGTGTTGCAAAGATTCGGATATCATTACATAATTTAGGCAACAAATATTGGCAAAATTATCTTTATAATATATAACAAAAGGGTGAACAGTGGATTGAGCCCTATTCCAATGATAATTTTGTACTTCATCCTAAAGTATAAAGCTATAGTTTTCTTAAAAATCACAAAATTAAATATTGGTCTTCGTCTAAGTTCAATTTAGATTGTTTTGATACAACGATTGTTGCGTTGAAATAAAAAAATGATAAAGATTCCATTTATTTTAAAAAGGCATTAATAAATTCACCTACTGGTTTGGTTATTGTTTCAAGGGTGGTTCTATCTACGGATAGCCATTGTTTGTATGTTATAAATTCGATGTCCTTAGAACGAAACAATATTTCTATTTGATCGCGTAAATGTGTTGACCCTGGACAATTATCACATTTGCCCATATAAATGGATGGTTGAGGCGAATTACAAATTATTAAGTGTAAAATATGTTTGTATGTTTTAAAGGGCAACATATCATTGGTTAAATTTGATCCAATGATCATTAATTTAAATTTTGGTGGTAGCTGCAATCACATACATGTGTACCACTACCTTCAACGAGTATACAATTTTTGGGCGAATGCTTGCGAATTTCGAAAAACCAATTTTAACATCAGGCCTCATTTCTTTAAAAAATATATAAATTTTTTTCAAATTATCTAAAATTAATCTCTTATGGTATTCTTTTTTCCGTCTTTGGTCAAAATCGAAACGCAATCTTTCTTGTCTGGTATGATTCTGCTTATTTCGTCCATACAATAAAATTCTTGTACAATTTTAACTGTATATTCGTCTATAGTTTTTCCAGGCTTGGGGTTAGGTGTTGATAGAAATCAAAATACCAAGAAATTTATTAAAAAATGAATTAATATAGTGAGTATGTGTTATTGAATGAATAAAACCCTTTCGCGCTTGAAATATTTCCCATAAACAAAAAATACTTGTACTTTGATATAATAAAATAATCATTTTGACATAATAAAATAATGATTTTGACAGGTTAATGATAAAATATGAAATAATAAATATTGTTTTATAAATTAATATCTCTAAGTACCAACCATTAGTTTCTTTAAATATAAAAATTAATTGATTAAAAATTTTAATGACAAATGATCTCGCTGGGCGCGAAAGGGTTAATCAATTTTAAAATTTTTATTTATTTTATTGATTGAAACACTTATTTATTGTTATTCTAATTTAGAAAGACTATGCTGATTTTAGAAAATCCGATCCAATATTTATATTGTTTTGGGTAATTTTATGATAATACTTTTATTTTGTATATAATTTCATAATAATAATAAATTAATATTTGTAATATTTTAAAAATTTCAAATTATTTTAAAAAATTGAGTAGAGAAAATTTTGATATTATTTTTGGCGTCTATGAAATGAACAAGATTCTGATTCATATATTCAAGAACTATAAACTTGGTTGAATATATTTTATTAATATTCATTAAGTATATGTTATATGGGCAAAAAATTTTATAATAAAGTAATAAATTGAATTTCTTTTATCGATAGACAATTTCTATAATTGAATGAAAGCCCCATTTATTGTTATTTTCACTTACAAGATGAATAATCCTTTAAATTATATCAAATAGTCCAAGAAAAACCATTAAAAACTGATTAATATATAATTTTATACAAAGACGCCCACTTTCGGGAAAATATTTATACACTTTTCTAAACATTTTTATCGATTTTGAGAATGAAGATGGCCGCGTCCCAGACCAATTTTTTTTTATAAATATAAAGGAAGAGTTTAATAATGTCTACTAAATTTTTTAAAAAAATTGAAGGTCGTATTATTTCCAAAAAATCGTTTTTAGTCCTTATATATTAAATAAAATGACCGGAAATTGGGAAAAAAAATAAAAAATTTTTTTTATCTAAAAGTAGAATCTTTGTACGTAATTTTGATATTAAATTTGTTATTTACAATTATGTAGTTTTTAAGATATGCTTAATTGAATGAAGGCAGATAATGGTAAAAATACGTCATTTTTGACACTTTGAACCCTAATATCTTCAAAAATATAAATGTTAGGAGGCTAAAATTTTGGCTATTTCTTAGTTACATCGACCTTTCTTTGCTTACCAAATTTTAAAAAAATCGAAGGGGGTCGGCCGAATCGTGGTTGATTTGTCATGGAATGACCCAGTGACAATATTTGTGATTCACCATTTCCATCAATTATTAAGGTAATGAAGAGAGGCATCCCATAATTATTTAGCTTGTAGGTTGCATCCACAAACATAACCTCTGGATATCTTTTGAGATTATGTTGCATCATCTCATCTTGAAAAAAAATTCCTAATAGAATATCATTTTCTTCAGTGACCTCAACAATAGATCCTTTATTTCCTTTAAGCAGCTGGAAAATGCTGGCTAAATCATTACACTTTGATTTATTAATATTAGTTTGTAAATTGTGAATATCTTTAAGGGTGATATTTTTTCCTAATTTAAGCATGGATTCTTGTATTTTTAGCTTGTTAGCTTTTAAGTTTAAGTACTTTTCAACTGATTCTCTCTCTTCAAGAGAAAGTACTCTTTGTTTAGGAAGAGATTCAAATGTATTTTTATCTAATTATGATTATTATAAATTTATTATGTAAAATTTTACCTAAATCATGGTTTGTATGTTTATTGACCATAGTCACAATTTGTAGGAAGTGGGTAGTATCTTTGTATTTTAGACACACTGTAAATTTAAAAGAGCACATTTTACGAAATGTTGAAGTATTCCTTATATTTTTTGAGCGATTTTTTTGTATGGATCCCCCATATTTACAAGAATAATAAACCTTTTGATATTTAAAAAGATTTATGAGCTCTTCAGGATGGAGAGCTTTTAACAATGTAGACCTTGCAATATATAAATTAATTAGGCATGACTGCTCATATTCTTTAATAATGCTACTAAGTGAATCATATGATGAAAATATTGCTCCTAAATGTATCATCTGTAAATAAAATTTTAATATTTAATTAATCAATTTACAAAAATTATTACTAACTTTGTCTAATTCCGAATTTGAATTGCTTGTATGGACTATGGATGTTCTATAAATCTATAGGCATATCTATAAATAAAATTTTAATATTTAATTAATCAATTTACAAAAATTATTACTAACTTTGTCTAATTCAAAATATAGAAACATTAAAATATATTTTTAAATTAACCGGGTTATCATATGAAAATGAATTGTCACGTGATAAAATGTCATTAATTATCATGGTGTTAGCTTTAGTATATTTTACTAAATATCACGGGTGCTAGCTCTAGTCACGGCCTCAATATTCTTTGAACTTGTTTAAATTTTTCATTGGTTGACAAATTTTTTGTGCATGGAAAATTATGATGTTGGGAAATGTTTAAATATGACTGAAACAGAGAAGAATCTTCAGGTGACATTATTGAGCTATCATGTGTATATTTTTTAGTTCACCTCTCTCCACAGAGATGATTAAGATAAATATCCAATTTAAGGCAGCAAGAAGCTAATATGTGGCGATAAGGCAGCTTTATGCAAGTCAAAAAACCACATGTACATGATTTTAGTGTAACTTTAAATTCTACACCATTTTCACAGACCAACGCATGGTTTAAAATAGTATCAATATTTAATAGATGTATTTGATTATGAAATGAGATTTCATTTAAATAAATTTTAAAGACAAAGCTTGAAGTTATTGTGGCTGATAAAGATATGGCAGATAGAAGTGCCTTTTATGAAAGTTTCCCAGCAGTAAATATTCACATATGTATTTTTCATGCTTTGAGGATATTTAAAAGAGAGATTACAGCTGAAAAGAGAAAAATTACTACATCTGAAGTTAAAACAGTGCTGGAAATACTAATGGTATACAGAAAGGAAGATGTATACAATTATCTTTACAAGAAACTTATAGATTTAAAATTGCCCTTAGTTTCTTTGTATTTTAATACACATTGGCACTTTATTAGAAAAGAATGGGTGATATATTGGAAAAATGAGTCACCATATCTGCTCAATTTTACTAACAATAGTTTAGAATCTCTTAATCAAAAAATTAAAAGAATTGTAAATAAATATTCTCCTGTTCTCAAGCCTTTGAAAGGCATCACAGAAATATAATGTGTATTGAGAGGCTACCATGTGTCACCTACGCATGTTATACTCCAGAAAATTTGTATTCAATTCTTTTATGCCTTTAAAATTATTTTAAATGAAATCTCATTTCATAATCAAATACATCTATTAAATATTGATACTATTTTAAACCATGCATTGGTCTGTGAAAAGAGTGTAGAATTTAAAGTTACACTAAAATCATGTGCATGTGGTTTTTATACTTGCATAAAACTGCCTTGTTGCTACATATTAGCACTTCATGCTGCCTTAAAATTGGATATTTATCTTAATCATCTCTGTGGAGAGAGGTGGAGTAAAAAATATACACAGGATAGCTCAATATTGTCACCTGAAGATTCTTCTCTGTCTCAGTCATATTTAAACATTTCCCAACATCATGATTTTCCATGTACAAAAAATTTGTCAACCAATGAAAAATTTAAACAAGTTCAAAGAATATTGATGCCCTTTTCAAGTTTAACATCTCAGCTTCCTCAAGAAATATTTGATGTTATCGAAAAACTAAAAAAACTTGATAGTATAGTTCAAGCTGGAAAATATTTTAATGTCATTGAAGTGGATCAAAGTATATTTCCCAATCCCATAGTTATTCCAAAGATAAACATTATACAAGGTTAGATTATATTTTATATAAATAAAATTTTAAATATGGAATATAGATACAAATGTAACAATCCCAATCATAAAATCAATATCAATTATGCCTAAGACTGAGAAAATTGTAGATATTGATGAAACTCTCCAAAAATTTAAAAGTATCAAACTACCACTCAAAATGAAAAAAAAGGGTAGATCCAGAAAATCTGATTTATCAGTAATAGAACTTTCAAATAAAAAGGGGAAATTAATTAAATTTTATATATAATAAATTTAAATTATAGATGATATTACCAATTAAAATGGGCATCCACTCATAACCAAATTTAACACTTGCTGAAAACCCAAAGTTGAGCTCTATTTTATCATCAAGTTACAAAATTAAATTTTGTATATAATAAATTAATAAGTGACAGCAAAATAATATTACCTATCAAAATGGGCCTATACTCACAACCAAATAAGACTTTTGTTAAAAATGCCATGACAAAAGATACTAGCAATATACCCCAAACCTTTAAATTTACTCTTGGTTTGTTGTAATATACAAAATTATTTTATTTATTAAGTAAATAACATTTATAGCTTTGACTTTGTACAAGCCAATGTGAAACTATTTGTGATTCACCATTTTCATCAATTATTAAGGTAATGAAAAGAAGCATCCCGTAATTATTTAGCTTGTAGGTTGCATCCACAAATTTACTGGATATCTTTTGAGATTATGTTGCATCATCTCATCTTGAAAATAAATTCCTAGTAGAATATCATTTTCTTTAGTGACCTCAACAATAGACCCTTTATTTCCTTTAAGCAGCTGAAAAATGCTGGCTAAATCATTACACTTCGATTTATTAATATTAGTTTGTAAATGTGAATATCTTTAAGGGTGATATTTTTTCCTAATTTTAGCATGGATTCTTGTATTTTTAGCTTTTAAGTTTAAGTACTTTTCAACTGATTTTCTCTCTTCAAGAGAAAGTACTCTTTGTTTAGGAAGAGATTCAAATGTATTTTTATCTATTTATATGATTATTATAAATTTATTATGTATAATTTTACCTAAATCATGGTTTGTATGTTTATTGACCATAGTCACAATTTGTAGTAAGTGGGTAGTATCTTTGTGTTTTAGACACTGTAAATTTAAAAGAGCACATTTTACGGAATGTTGAAGTATTCCTTATATTTTTTGAGCGATTTTTTTGTATGGAGCCCTCATATTTACAAGAATAATAAATCTTTTGATATTTAAAGATTTATGAGCTCTTCAGGATGGGGAGCTTTTAACAATGTAGACCTTACAATATATAAATTAACTAGACATGACTGCCAATAAATGTATTATCTATAAATAAAATTTTAATATTTAATTAATCAATTTACAAAAATTATTACTAACTTTGTCTAATTCCTATACTATTTTGAATTGCTTTTATATGGAGGTTCTATACATTTATAAGCATATCTATAAATAAAATTTTAATATTTAATTAATTAATTTACAAATATTATTACTAACTTTGTCTAATTCAAAAAATAGAAACATTAAAATATATTTTTAAATTAGAGGGTTATCATATGAAAATGAATTGTCACGTGATAAAATGTTATTAATTATCATGGTGTTAGGTTTAGTATATTTTACTAAATATCACGGGTGTTAGCTTTAGTATATTTTACTAAATATCACGGGCGTTAGCTATAGTCATAAGACTAATTATGATTAATGTAAATATAGTTTCAAATAAGAAATAAATTAATCATCTTAATTTATTAGCTTTAAACACATTCATTTTATAGCTTAAAATTTATTTATTTTTCCTTCGCAATTAAATATTTATTAAACATTAATATTTTATCAGCGAGGTGGCGTTATATTTTTTTATATTATAAATTCTTTCTTTCTTTTCTAAGGTGACTTTCCAAAAAAAAATTGTTAAAAAAGAGGGCTACAGGGGATAGCTCTTCCCACCAACATAATTTTGCAAATTCTTTAGCCCTTAATTCTCTTTACACTATTTTATAATTTAAATATTACACAATTTAGGCATTCTATCATTTCATTAGTCATCGATTACAATTATTCACGTCTTGCCAATGACATATAATGATAATGCCTAGACTGACGATGCAGTCATTAAAAGTGTACATCAAATGAAAAACAGCTGGGGACACCATTTTGATTACCCATATCATTATTAAAAATTTTAAACGAGAGGCCAATATTCCCAGGTCTGACGTAAAAAAAAACTTTATAAAAGAATTGCCTGATCATTGAGATGATAATGATAGTAGTTTTTATGAGAGTAATTAATATATGGGTTACCAAAATGGCGGCTACAGCTGATTTGCATTCAACGACTCTTTCAACTTCATTATAATGAATGCATCGTCAGTCTAGGTATTATATTATTATGTCATTGGTCTAAAGTTACTGAAGTAATTAAGCTAATAAAATTTTGAGTTAGATTTGTATATATACAGTTACTTGAGATTCCTAATCAGTTTGAACTCTCCTACAAATCTCTATACATTATTTTAAGGTTCATTATATATTTTTTTAACTTTAATTCATCTATTTATTGTATCGATAATAGTTATAGGAACAGATCATTTATATATTGGGCTAATTTATATTGGAATTTGTCAAAAATGAGCGTAGTTAATATTGTAAATTATAATGCCGACATGAAAATAAAAATGATAAATAATTTATTTCATTCATAAAAAATAGACGATTATTGTGGGAAAATATCATTTTTTAAAACCGAATGGAAAATTTTGTCAATTCGTTATATAAAACAAATTACTATAAATGTATTGTTTTTCTAAATAAAAAACAAATTTCGTCCAAACAGTTATGAACGTCTGTCTCAAATCAAAATTTCGGAAGTATGAATCCAGTTCCATATTATTCTTTTTTTTTACTGTAAAGAAATAAAATCGATAACTTAGGGCTGCTTTGTACAAGAATATGAGTTGGGCGGAAGGATATAAGTTCGGCGGAAGGATATTAAAGTTAACAGTTATTGAGAATGTATACAAATAAACATCTTTCTTTTTTTAAAAAAAATACCATTTATAAAAATGTAATTCACAATTATGTAATTTTTATTTTTTAAAAAAAAATTTGCACAATTATCATGTGATTTTTTTTTATAAATCGACTTCATCCGCTATCCACGTTCCACATTTTGGAAAACTGGGAGGTGCTCGCACCATCTCTTCGTATTCTCCTATTTGAAACATGATTGACATACCGCCCATCAGATGAAATCCTAAATGGCAATGAAACATCCAGAATCCTGAATCGAACGATTTAAATTTTAGTTTTATATTTCTATACAAAATTATTTCTAATATAAATAATAATATATATATGTCGTATTTTTTGAGGATATGAATTTTATAGCGAAATGTATTTCGGAATCCATAGAGCATGCGCACTGAGTAATTCAAACAATTTTACCGCGAACTTTATGAAAGTATAATCAAAACTTATATTAATGTAAAATTTAAAATTTAAAAAAAAAACGCACACAAATTTTTATGGCATTGTCCTAAATTTATGTGGTAGGCTCTCTTGCACGTGCTAGAATTACATTTCCGGTAAAATAGGATCATAAAAAGATTTAATAATCGCTTTAGAACATAGGATTTATAATGGAGTAATTCCGAATCCCTATGGTCAATGCGGCATATATGATAATAACCAGTTATACAAGCAAGTTAGGATTATAGGTTAGAAAGATATGGGTTAAGGGTAAGTAAGGTATATTAAAGAGGGTTTTGTTTAAATAAAGATTTAATAATTTTTATTGGTAAATTGCGAAATGTGATAGGTCAAGTGATTAAAAATAATTTTCCCTGAGTTGGGCCATTTTTTTTAAAAAAAAAGAAGATAGGCGAAAGTTAGAAAACCTGGATTATCCGCGAGGAATCTTAGAATAACGTAACCGCCTTCCGGAACCGCTACCGTATCTTTGTACACTGGGGATTGAAAATTTCTTTTCAAGAGTCCCTGTCGGTCTCTCCTTTTAATCTTTAATAAAAAAAACATTTAAAATTAAATTATTATTTTTATCATAAACCAAAACTATCAGGAAATTAAAATATTTCCCGTTTAAAAAATCTACTTCCGGTTTCTAAGTTCAAAACGGGCCACGCGGGCTAGTTCTTGTTTTGCTTTTAGAATAGCAACTTTAAAAACATATAAATTACTCAAACTTTTATGACTTCCGGTTTCTAGTTCTTATAAATTGGGAAAGAAAGAAAGAAAGAGGGAAAGAAAGAAAGAAAAGAAAGAGGGAAAGAAAAGGAAAGATAAAGATAAAGAAAGAAATCAATTAAAAAGGGTTGATTGTCAACTGATAATTAATCAGTTCGCGTCCCCTTTATATTATGTTCTCGTCCGAACTTTATTGAGCAGAATGACTTCAAACCAGATTTTGAAGAAATAATCTTTTAGCATTTTTATCTTTGTTTACAGAAATGAGATTTCTGATAAAATTTTACCTAAAATGCTAAAATTATAAGATATTTTTTCTGTAATTTTTCATGATGAAGATTTTTTTAAACTCCGATTTCGAGGAATAGTTTTTTGTGTGTTTTTTTCATAATAACGGCCATGTTTAAGATTTTAGTCAAAATAATAATACGTAAGCCTCGAGATTTAGCAAATAGAGGTTCCTAGCATTCCTGTCATCTACGAGCACAGGCATTCATATCATTATTTTAGGCTAACACCTTATTAGAGCCCGTTTTTAAATAATCGATTCAAATCACAACACTAGTTTTTTTGTTTTTTTTAAAAAACAATGTTTATTTTAAAAAAAAACAATGTTTAGTTTAAAAAAACAATGTTTAGTTTTTAAAAAACAATGTTTAGTTTTAAAAAAAACAATGTTTATAAAAAACAATGTTTAGTTTAAAAAAAACAATTTTTAGTTTAAATGTCCTGCTAAAGCTTAAAGATATTATTTTGTTTTTTTTTTGAAGGCATTTACTTAATTTCTGTTATTATTAACCTCTTCAATGGTGGTTTTCGATGCTAAGCGTTCTTGACCCAATACGGCGAACGCGTAACCGTGAAGATGAAAAGAATGGACGTCATTTCTCAAATTGTTACCTAAAAATAAAATACTTTAAAAAAAAGAAGTTTATTGATAATCGAATATTAAAAACGCGAACCGTTTTTAAACGATGTCCTATCAATCAAATTGAAAATCGCTTAATTTTAAATTAGCACTATAGGGGGATATACAAAACGGGGCAAAAGGAACAAGTGTAAATATCATATAGGTTAAACATTTTTTTCTTTGACGTTCTATAAAATAGGGGGGATTTGGACCAGAAGTTCTCCAAAGAAAAAAAAACGAAATAATTTTGAATATTTTGTTTTTTTAATAAAATTTCTTAGGTTCTGATGTAAATAACTAGGGGTCTGCAAGGGGCAGGCTTTAGCCAAAAAAACCCCTCCTTGTTTTGTATTTTTTGACCCACCGGCCCAATTTTTTTGAAAACTATTTTAATTGCTGGTTTTGACTCTTTATTTTAATTTATTAAGAAAATGTATCATCCGCCACAAAATATTATTTTGACGGTTATCGTAATATAAATATATTACATTAAATATAAAATAACCTTCATCGACTATCACGATTTCTACGACATTGTTCAGCGCTACGGGGTACATGTTGATACAGTTGCATATTTTGGTGGAGCATTCGGGGTTTCTTTCTATAGTGCAAAACTCGCTAGATGGAATTTGCTCGAATTGTGTCAGCAAAGGGAAGGAGGGATGGGTGAAAGATATATTGTTTATGTTGGGAAGACCTGGAAGAGAAGAGAGAATATATTACAAATTTAAGAAAAAAAAGGATTTCAATTTTGTTAAAGAACTTATATTATTTTCTTCTTCTTTTTTTTTTGAAAAACTAGAAGGTTGAGATACTCTTAACAGATCCGGGAGGATAAATTTCGGGATTAGAATCCGAGACCCTGTAGGGCCCTGATCAAAGCCTAATTCAAATGGAAAAATTATAATAATGTGGTGTTTAATTATTCATTTACTTATAATTTAATTATATATATATATAACCACCCTATACTACAGCTAACTCAAATATTTTAGCCAGATAAAATATCGTCTAAGCCTCGAGTTTTCGATAACATATGTCTAGACCTTCGTTCCTTCTATGAGCAAAATCTTCAGGGCTTGGGTAATATATTTTTCTGGATGAACTATTTAGTGAGCCGCTTAACGACACTACCCCCGAAACCAAGCACATACAAAGTAATACTATTATTACCATTTCCTATAAAACTATCCGTGAATAGGTAGAAGCGATATCTCGGATTATTGATCGGCTTTTGAAGCTCAAATTTCAAGGCTCTCAAATCGGTTAACCGAACGTAAGCGGGATTCGTATTGTAATCGGCTTTGTGAACAGGATTAAATACCTAAACCAGAATTTAAATACGAGATTAACTTTCTTTATATAAAACATATGTGCACGTACCTTTTCTCCCGGTCTTGGAGCTAGGTCAGAATTTGCGTATGTCAGAAATTTGTTGGAGCTTTTATCTTGCGTTTGCTTTGCTAGCATGAGTGCGGTAGCCTCCTCTAAAGTGATATCGTCGTTTCTGGTGTAAATCAAATATGAGGTCGCGTTTCCGACATAGCCCGCGGAAGCATTTCTGCAAACTCCGTCCCCAATCCAGCTCATGGAAAAAACCAAATCTTGATTAGAATTTCCCGCCTGCACGATAGGATTCGGATCGGTTGGCTCTAGGAACACGTCGAATCTTTCCGCCGCGAAAATGTATAACTTATCGACCGTAACTGGTCTGAACGGGAAATTGTCACCTTCAACTACCGTCATTCTATGTCCTTCTATCGAAAGCGATATTGGACAAAATAAAAAGCCGTTACTAATGACTCTAAGATAGGGCTTTTGACCGAAAGGTCTGAAAACAAAATAGCTCGGCGGGGACGAAGCCTCAAAATCACCTTGCCGTCCATTGACAACTAAAGAGGCGACTGTAGGCATGGTATTCCTGACAAAATAGGGCGGAGTTAATGACGCCGTCCAGTCTTGAACTAACGCTAATCTGTTGCGATCATTTTCGAAGCTCACGTAACGGGGACCGGATTTCCTAAACTTATTTCGAATCAGGAAGGAACCCGCTATACCCTGATCTCTCAATAAAGCCGCGTGAGCGTGCCAAAACTTTGTACCCGGTGGGTAGGCCTCAAATTTGTATTGAAACGTTGAACCGAGCAGAATATCGCACTGGGATACTAACGGGGTCCCGTCCATGAAAGGCGTTTTCAAGTGATGAATCCCGTGCCAATGAATAGTCAGGGATTCCACGCTCAGGAGCATATTGGTCACGTTAACTGTCACGATATCGTTTTCGCAAACCTATGTTGTTTTTATTTAAACGAGTTTCGCCATTAGACAATATAATCAAAGAAAGATGGTATTACCCTTATTTCCGGTCCCGGGAACATCTCGTTCACGAGAAACAATGGCCGCACACTTCCATCCCCTACGGCGCATCCTGGCCTACTGCAATCCGAAACGTTGGTTGGACAATTACCGCACTTGGTTGGGTTGAATGTTCTAGAAAAAGTGGCCACCAATGAGAAAAAGCATTCCATTCGGGGTCCATTTTCGTAGCACGGCCTATCACAGGGGTGCGAATTAATCCATTTCTGGCTTTCTACCACGCTTCCAAATACAACTTTTATTTTTTTGTTTTTTATTTGTTTTTTATTTGTTTTTTTTTAAATAAAAATGGTAAAATTTTAATCGTTTTATGTAGGAATTGAAGTCGTTTATCAAATTTAATATAAAATATTTATATTGATTATAATCCGTAATAATTTTTATTTTTTGCCCTTCATAATACTTCATAATAATAAATCAAAAAAAAATATATATACACATAAATGACCATTATTAATCATTTGTCAAAGGTCAGTTATATACAATTACATTTTTTTTATTTGTTTTGTATGACCATGAATTTCAAACGAAGCTTAAAAATTGACAACTCATATAATATACCTTTTTGATAGATTGTTAATTATAAATGTGAAGGGTTCGAGATGTAATTATCGAATATTTGTTTAAATTTAACACGAAAACGCTCGAACGCTAAAATATCTAGTTAAGACGCATCCTTAGACACTCTAAAATCTTCTTACGATTTATCTTAAATAATATATAACAGAGACCTGCAGGCCCGGCCAGGCCCAGCCCTGGAAATTTTAAATTTACCCGGACCAGGCCGGGCCTCATATTTTAAAACGAAATATTACATCATATTTTAAAATTACACAAAAATTACTTAATTGTTTTTAATAGAAATTTTATTAATTGACGTTAATAAACATTAATGCGACAGGAGGGGTTGTTTATATAATTTGATGAGTTAAATATAAACTACACGTTTTAATTAATTATTAAAAAATAAATTGTCTTAAAAAAATGAGAATATGATAAATTGATTCCTCGTCAGAATTGTAGCTGGGGTGCAACTAGATGAATAAAAAGACATTTTATAGATCGGATTTGATTTCTAGAATCAACCTATCACTTTTGTTTTATGGCAGATGTTCATTTCAAGCGCCGAAATCATATCACGTTTAGTTCTTCGTCATTTAAAATATAAATTTTGATTTAAAAATATTTTACCCTAGCGACTAGAAACGCTACGCAAAACTCACTGGGTCAAACCTTATTAATAGCAGGAATTTCATTAAAAAAAACAAAATAATACAGATGGTAACTGATCCTAGGGCTAATGTCAGAAGAAATGTCAGATTGGGAGGATCATGAATTTAGCTATAGTTGATGGCATGAAAAAAAATGTTGCCAGAAATATATATCCTGATTATAAAAAAATTTTTTGTTAGAGAAATCATTTCAGCCCTCAACGACATCATTCCAATTTAAAATTAAATATTTAAAACTTTTAGTGCGCGGAGTACGATTCAAGTTCAAGATAATATAGCTAAAATCGTTCGTAAATATTCCTTTCCAAGCAAACTATTACAACAACATTAGAGATATCTAGAGCAAGAATGCCATATTATGCTCAGCCTATAGAGTATACCAGAAGAAGATACAGCGATCTTCTTGGGAAAAAAGCACGGGAACTTCCTAGACTTGCTAATTTAGCTAGGAGGGTTCTTTGTATACCCGCAACCAGCGCTCCCAGGTGAAGAATTTTTATTCCATCACTGGATTTTAATACTCAATGCGAAAAAGGAACTTCTTTCTGTTCCCACTAATCTTGATAAAATATTTTATTGATTCATAACAATTTAATAATTTTACATAAAAATCTGATTTCTAATTTATTATATTTCTTATTATAATATTTTTGCTCCCAATTTCCATATTTATTATTTTAATTTGTTTTATATGAAAAAACAATCAATAGAATATTTGCTAAGTGTTGTATATGTGACTCTGATCTGAGTAAAAAATGTATAATTCCTAAATAATAGGAGGAGACATAAAATAATTTAAGAAATGAATTAAACTATATATGTTATAGAACTAAGAGTCCCAAGTAAATTATATGTTTTTAATTTTCAAATGAATAGCACGCCGCGGCCATCGCTGATTTATTAGGCGACGGACGACATCGGCGAGCCGCCGAACGCCAATTAAAATTTTTTTTAAGCCGTCAATCTACAGCGCACAGGTTTACCCTATCACACCAATTTCAAATAATTTTGCCTTAGAACTTTCACATGAGGGAGACTGGGGTTATTATGAGCCCGAGGTTATTGCGAGCTTTGAGGATTTCTTCTAGAGTACTCAATTCTAATAGTTATTTTTTATGATTTTATCATATAAAATTTTTATAACACAGTATACGATTTTATACACTCAAAAGTAACCTTTTTTAATTTTACAATTTATCGAAAATAAAATAAAATAATAATTAAAGGTTTTAAATATTATTCAATAACTATCTTAATAAGAAAAGATTAAATCCTATATTCTGTATATAAAATTATTCCTTATTTGAACAAAAATATATGTTTTAACATTGAATTTTATAAAGATATTGAGGGTCTGAGGCTATTTTTCAAGAGGTTTATACGAGCTTTTTGAGGGTTGTTTAATAAAATTATTTTTGCTTTTTTGAAATTTGAAATTCGAAAAGTGATAGAAATTATTACACTTTCTTTTCTTTCTTTCTTTCTTTCTTTCTTTTCTTTCTTTCTTTCTTTCTTTCTTTCTTTCTTTCTTTCTTTCTTTCTTTCTTTCTTTCTTTCTTTCTTTCTTTCTTTCTTTCTTTCTTTCTTTCTTTCTTTCTTTCTTTCTTTCTTTCTTTCTTTCTTTCTTTCTTTCTTTCTTTCTTTCTTTCTTTCTTTCTTTCTTTCTTTTTCATTTTTTTATTCGTTTAAATTTGTCAAATGAGTTTCACTAATTTATTTTATAATTATTTTTCCACGGGGTATAGTTTATTCTTTCTCAAAATATTTCTTTTCAAAAATATTAATATTCTTAGCATAAAAAGTAAAATAAGAGGAAATAAAATGAGATATCATTTATTTCAATATTATCGAGTAGTAGTTTTAATTTGATTGACGTTTGCCTTTTAGGGGGCTCACATGCGCCCCTGTCTCCCCCTACTCCTAAATTGATTTTAAAAGTTATTCAAAAAAAAAACCAAGCGCTAGCTGTAAATGTTCTTATATTCAATACAATTAACAAGTTCAGCAGAAAAAGCCCTTTGTCAAATCATAAATTCTACAAGGTATATTAAAGTTATTTTTAGCTCAATCCAGGAATTCGCTAAACTCTTATAATATTCGATTAATTTAATGTTTTATCTAGCGATTATATTTCTGTATTTTCGAATAATATAAGATTTTACGGCTAAGTTACAAGGTTTGTATCTTTCGATACATTTGTGGAAAAATTTTTTACAATGTTGTTATAATTTAAATATATTAATTTAGTTTTTGAAATCTTTAGGATTTTGAAAAATACTTACTTAATATGAATATGAAAGATAAATACATCTCCTGCCTAAATAAAAATATTTAATTTTATTTTTTTTAAAAAAAAGAGAATCTAATGGTCTTTTTAAGTGTATTTTTTTATTATTATCTATCTATAATTACAGGTGATAATAATAAACCTAATATGATTATTTATTTATATAGTATAGGTATAAATTTTTAAAAATAAAATCTAACTAATAATCACAATTTAAAAAAAAAAATTTATTATTATTTATATTATATTACACTAACACTACCATAAATCTTCTTACAAAAAAAAATACACCTTAATTTCAACACTGACCCTCAAAATATAATGTCATCTTATATAATGTATAAAGGCTAAAAAATTATAAATTTTAATTTTATTTTGAAACAAAAATTTTAAATTTTTTGACAAAAATAAACAGCAAAATATGATGTATAGTTTATTAAAAATAAAATGAGATAATTATATTGAAAAATTATTTTGACCATCAGAGCTTAAGTTTCTTTATAATAAATTTAGTATATTTAAATTATTAAATTATATTAAAATATATAATTCAAAATTATTATTTGAGGCAGATAATCTATTTCCCCCAAAAAATATACATTACAATCACGTGGTAGAGTTTTTATCTAATAATTAAGAATTTATTATAAGAGTAATTTCTTCTGTATACTTTCTGGAGTTCTTAATACATTACGTAAAAGTTTAAATTGAGTTTTAGCTCCAATCCTAGCCCTAACCCCACCATGCTTAGTAATTTTTATATAGATTAAATATATTTTTCTAAAAAAACGATTTTGTGTATAATTATATATTACAAATTTTTATGTTGTAAATCGTCTGCTCCGTAGTAAGAATTTTGAAAAAAAAAAAATACAAAATGGCGTTTCATGAATTCAGAATTCCGAAATAATTCTATCCTAAATAATAGCCAAAAAAAGTAAAAATTAAATTTTAAATATTTATTTCCTTGCATATATTAATAATTATATCTAACGAAAATTTAAAGGTTTATTTTCTTATATTTTTTCAAAACTTAAACACTGATTTATCTAAGAAAATTCTATCAATTTCTAGTAATAAATGATTAGAAAATTTCCAGATATCCAATTAGGCAGAAATTGCTAAATAATAATTATTTCTGTAAGATATTTTGTATATTTTTGGAGCGTTCAGGGTTTTTGCTAATTTTAAAGATACATCAGCTGATGTGTCGAAATCTATAATTTAAAAAAAAGGCATGATGGTGTCCAGGTTGCTATTCGGAACAGAATTAGAAAAGAAACATAAAGTAAGTTTGAGTTAGGACGCAACCTTTAGCGTCAACGCATCTGAATTTTTCCAAAAAATGTATCACAGATACAATATGTGTCAAAATACATTCCAATTTGATTACGAATTTTTAGACATCTTAAGCCGTGAACTTTTAGGGATCTTTTTATAATTTTTAATTTATATTCATTTTTCCAATATATATATTTTTTCTTTTAAAAATATAAATTTTTTAAAAAAATGACTCAAATAGGTTCAAGGGCAAAATTGTTCTGAGTTTCGTAAAAAAATGATTTTAAAAATTGTTAATTGAATTATTTTTAGAATTGATAGAATTATTGCCAAAATAATAATGCAGAGAAAAAAAAGGATCATATTTATTTGTAATGACGTATTTTTTCAAGATTTTTTAAAAATGGAATATAATAACCTATTGTTCATTTTATTAAAAAAAAATTTTGAAAAAAATATTTTAAAATAAAAATTGGCAGACATATGGATAACTTTATATTTTTAGCTTAACACGTGACCATTAGCGGTAACTATACATCTAGCTATCTATCTTATGACCATGATCAGGGTATTTTTTCTAAATAATAATCGGTTTGATGATATGGGGGGGGGGGGAGGCTTGAAAATAGTAAACAAAGATTATGACACCATTTTATGCAGTATCATGCAAAAACAAATAACCAAAATGGTTACCATATTTAATGGTTTTATGGATGGAAGCATAACCCTTACTTCAATTCTTTCGACAGGATTTGTTTTAATTTGAGATCTTTCTGAATTCTAGGAGAGTGGAAGGGGTAGGCTCAAAGATGTTTTTGGTGGTAGGGAAGCAAATCTAGACTTTTGCCTCCAAATTTGTTTGGCAGCAATCTTTGAAGAAATAAATGATGAGATGGATGTTCTAAATATAGGCATATGGTAGAATGACACCTGTCTTTTTATTGAGAAGGGCTTGAGCCAAGAGTTTGGCCAAATTTATAGAGAAATCTGTTATTTTTTAAAAAAATGGAAAGTTTAGCTTGTATTATATTAAAGAATATTTTAATGTAAATTGAATAGGAAGAAAGTTTGATGTGCTAAACAATATATTATAGAAATGGGGTTTAGATTTGTTAATCACCTTTAATTAAAAAGTTTTAAGCATCCATAAGCACCTCTGACAGTCGGAGTGTGGTATAATACGAATCAATTGTGTCTTTTAAAATCTCATGAGGTGGGGGGGGGGAGGAGGCAAAATTTCAGGAGACTCTCTTAAAATCAACACAAATAAGTCGGTATTCATTTATAATTGAATTATTTTTTATATTTTACGCATCAGGGGATTCTCAGAGTCATTGGTATATAAAGATCTAGAGGGATCTCCAATTGATGACCCTGAAATGTGTTAAACAATTATATTGGATAGGAATTAAGTATTTACTTTTGAAGGCAAAAAACGCATATTTTTAAATCTCACAATTTATTAAACCAAAACATATTTTAAATATTAATAAATTTTGTTTATTGCATCTTGCGTGTTTTTTTCCAATAGATATTTTTTAAACTTTTAAAGGGAAATTTCGTTTTGCAAATAAATACATTTTTTTATTATTTTTTTTTTATGGAATAAACTTTTTATTAAGAACTTTATAATATTTAATACATTGAACGTTAAAAGTAAAACATATATACGTAATTTAAAAAAAAATATATATTAAAAATGTCATGTAAACTATTTATTTAAAATCTATATAAAAAACTGTATAATAAAAAAAAAATAATTAGTATAGTAAATTGTATGTTGGGTGGGAGGAGGTCAAGAAAGAGAGCCATGGATGGCAATGCAGTTAGATCTGCATATATCAATAGATATGCGCTGTCTGAGATAGAAGCCTTCCTGAGGGTCACCAGTGATGGCGCGGATTTTTTTACCGAGGGTTTTGAAGAAGGTTAGGGCATGATTGCCAAAAGACCCGGTTGTGTCGGATACGATTGGTATGAGATTGCAATTTGTTAGGGAAGTGTATTTATTAATTTTCGAGTTTTCAGCTCGCATGAATGAGTTGTTATTAAAGGAGGGAGCAAATCGGTCGATGCAAGTATAGTCCCATGCTAATGGAATTCTATTACTCCATGGTATTAATGTCATTCCATCTGGCCGTATAGTATTCTCGGTTGAGAGGCCACAGGGTTCGAGGGTTGCTGGAATTTGAGCTGAGCGTCGAGCACGGAGAATGGTGCCGTTAACTGCACTGTGTCGAGAATGTCTACCTTTAGAGAATCGACAATGAAGAGGATGATGTCCAAAACAATAAACGGATTGGGAACATAATGTACATGTGGAGTTGGCCAGTATATTACAGACCTATTGGTATGCGTAATTCTTCGTTTGTTAAGAGAAGTCCTAAGTTTGAGCTGGGCAAAGCTTCTAACCATTCATAGCTCGATAGGGAAGGCAAAAGTTGTGGAACTTGCAGTTGTGGGAGAGAGAGATGATCAACTGTTAAGGATTCATCAACTGTAATGGGAGATAATAAATGAGAAAGGATTGATGGGGATCCCTTAGAAGCAGCACTCGATATTAGATATTCAACGGAGTGGCGTATTAAGGGAAGATCCCATGCTTTCGTGATGTGGGGATTGGAGCGGAGAAGGAATTCTCTTTCCAGATTGCTAGGGCGTGGGGAAAGTGGGCGTCTGTGGGGTTATTGTTAAGTGATAGCATAATTAAGCGGGAGCTTGTTTCTGAGGCTAAAAAAAGTAGCAAGGCTGAGTGACGCGGGTGATCTTAAGCCAAGACCCCCAAATTTCGAGGGTAAGGAGGCCTGCATCCAAGAATTAGGGCTGAATTTTATATTAAGGATGCCTTCTAAAGAGTCTTTGATTGTTGATTCTATTTGGGTGAGAATTTCCGGGTATAAGAAAAGTGGGGCAGAGCGGAAGGCGTGTTGGATTTTTGGGATAAAGAAAAAGTTTTTGAGAAGGAAGAAAGCTTGATGGGAAGGAAGGACTTGAAGGATTTTATGTAAAAGGTTAAAATTACGGAGAAATTTTGTTTTGAAATATTCGATTGCTTTATTGCCGCCTATTTAGAAACGAGTTAATTTTTTTTATTTATTTAATGTTAAATTTATCAAATATTTTTTTTAAAAATTTACAAATTAATGAATAAAGTTTACGAAATTAAATTTTCTAAAATATATCGGATCTTTAACATAAATTTTTTGAGTGAGATTTGACAGTTTTTGAAATAGGGGGCGAGGAATGGCCCACCCAGCCAGTCGCGCGTAATTTTTTTCCGCGTAACTACTCAAGGGGCGAAAACCTTAATTTTTAAAAATTAATATTATATCGTAATTAATGACATGTAACAATACCTAGACTGAAGATGCACTCATAATATGAAAGCGTCATTGAATGCAAATCAGCTGGACCCGCCATTTTGGTAACGCGTATAGTAATTTTTCTCATGTTGAAAAAAATACTATTAAATTGATAACGTTGCTATCATGTCGATGATCAGGCCAATTCTTTAATAAAGTTTGCGTAAGACATAAGGAACAAATTAGCTTCTCGTTAAAATTTTTTAATAATGATAGGGTAATCAAAATGGCGTCCCCAGCTGTTTTTCGTTGATGTACACTTTTAAAGAATGCATCGTCAGTCTAGGTATTATTATATGTCATTGTTAGTCTGCCAAGAGCATTTTTTTTTAGCCAAAATGTTAAAATCCCGAAAATTATTTTTTTTAAAAAAAACTATTTACCAATTTGTCAGGTGTCAAAACTTGTATAAATATTTATATCAACTAGAGAAATACCCCCCAAAAAATCTAATATTAAATTAATTCCGATTTCTTTACAGAGATTTCTAGAAAACATTGATCTTACAAGGTTATGATCAATGACATAATAATCCCTAGAATGACGATGCATTCATTAAAAGTGTACATTAATGAAAACAGCCGGGGACGCCATTTTGATTACCCATTTATTAAAATTTTTTAACGAGAAGCCAATTTATTCCTATATCTGACGAAAACTTTATTAAAAGAATTGCCTGATCATCGAGATAATAAGGAAACAAGTTATCAATTTAATAGTAGCTTTTAACATGAGAATAATTACTATATGGGTTACCAAAATGGCGGGTACAGCTGATTTGCATTCAACGACGCTTTTAAAGGTATTATTATAAACGCAGAGTCAATCTAGATATTATTATATGTCATTGGTTTATGATACATAGTTTTTTAAAATTATTATAAATAAAATAAATTATAATTAAAATTTACGGATGTCGTCGTTGTCCATTGCGTAAATAAAATTTGCATGGTGTGACTATGTAATGACGTAAACCGGACATATTATTAAATATGAAATTTAATTCTAATAATAGGCTTAAATAAAAGTTTAACTAAATGTATCTAAAAATAGATACAGATACATCTTAAATAGTATCTAGATACTTTAATAACTCCGGTAAATTTTTATTTAGATTGCTTGTGATTAAAATTTGTAAATATCAATATATTTTTTTAAAAAAGAAAAAAATGGAAATTAAATTTTATAGTTTTGCGATAGAGGTCAATGTTTCAATTATTTCATCACAAATTTCGTCGTAATATTGGAACGTATTATCTAATTTCCCCAGCTTATTTTCGATTCTCTTCAAGTGATTGACTTGATTTAAGGCGATCCCGGAAAAGCAGCTAAACGCGAACTGCAAACCGAACCTTGGTACTCTCTTTTTTCCGCTCGATTCCGTTATCACTTTCACGGGATACCCTTCTTTACTCATCCGATTTCGTATCAAAAGTGTAACATCTCCTAAATGAGCGGGGTCTACGCTTTTGGGTATCTCGGAGGATATCGTTATCTCGTCAAAATTTTTATTATCATGACTGGTGGATTTATCGCTAAAATAATCGATCCACACTATTCTAGGCGGGAGAATGCGGCTCGCTAAAATGGCGTCGAAGTTGGTTTTAAAATTGGCGTAGAATTTCTTGACCTCGCCTTTATCTCCAAAGCATCGGAGGACAACTTTTTCCAAACCCCTTTGTCTCATCTTATGACAGTTATACAACCGATTTTTTAACTCGTCAACGATGGCTTCCATATTGAAGAATTCGGCTTCCATGATTAATCTTTCGATTAACTGCGGATTGGGGATATTTGTACCATTTTTGACGAAGTCGCACAACAGTTCGAAATAGTCCGGAGTACGATCAACGAAAAAGCGGCCATCTTCGTCTTTCCCCAGAGGTACGGAGGGGTCATCTGCGAAGCAACGCTTCAGTAAACTTTCTGGGAACTTTTTGAACAATTTATATTCTAACACAAAAATCCTACCACCTACATTGATAGTTAGATCTGTTTTTTTTTCCTTTTTTATTTCAATTTTTTCTTCCGTATTCCGTTTAGCATCCGGTACAGCATGGTCAGAAATTTTCCCAACAGCCCTATTTACTTGTTTATCCGATTTGGTAATCTCTATCGCCGGAACGCTACTTTTGGTATTATCTTTCACCTCGCTATTTATGGCATTATCCGTCGCGGGTAAAGTATCTTTGGTAATATCTTCCGCTACTAACTTCATTTGAGATGTGCTGGGCTTACTCTTCGTAATATCATCCGTTAACTTCGTTTGAGATGTGCCGGTTTTACTCTTCGTAATTTCCAACATAATATTTGTAACAGGAGATGGCGTAGTTTTAGGTGACATTAACGTTACAAGATTTCGAGGGTAACTAGACACATTATCTATGTCTTCTTTGTGGTGTTGCATGAGAGAATTTGCGAATTTATTGTGAGCCAATTTTAGTCGATTTTCAACCTCGTCGGTTAAATTTATTTCGATTGGAGAAGGGGATTGAAAGGGTGATTTCGGGGAAGAACCCACATCCCCGCCAGAAATTCCCGCGAGATTTTTAGCTTGAAAAGCGACGGTTTCGTTTATTTTGCGAAATATATTCTTTTTAATGTCGGATACGGAGCTTTTTTTTCTAAGAATTGTTTGTTCGGTGTATTTACCCTGTTCCTCTTCGGAATCGGAAGATGATGACATCAATTAAAATCTATTTATTTTTTTTATTATTTATTTAACAAATAAAAAACTTTAATATTTCAACAATCAAATTTTAAATTTCAAAGCTCCATTTATTATATAAATAATTTTCCAATACATGTCGATCATATTTATCCAATAGCATTATTTATAGGAATATTCATCCAATGAATATTCATTTTATCACATTATTATTTTCTCGTATTTTGTGAAAAAGTGCTATAATACCCGGAGTTTTGAATCGAATTCGCAGCTAAGTTAACCATTTGTCGTAGTAGCTTAGCGGTATGCCCTCAAGGAGTAATTTCGAAGTTGTCGATAGGCCCAATATAAGTAGAAATCGATAGTCGGTCAAAGCATCTATCTAACAGGAGATCAACGACCTCTTCCCCTTTAATGGGCGAGCTTAGGGCCTGGCTAGTAATATTCTAATACACAAAATATCGATTATTGACCGGAAGTATTCACTTTTGGTTTTAATAGGTTAGAAATGAATGGTGGGAGGGGGGGGGTTGTACAAAATAAAAGTTTGATACAGCCATCAATAAAAGTAATTAATTATAATAATTATTTCTCGTTCTACATGGGCGGGTCTTTGGGGGTCAGGAATTTATTTTATTAACCCAAAATATTGATATGAGCATCAGGTAAAGGCTAATATAAATATTTTTTATCTCAGCTAATAATATTCACTCTTGGTCTTAAATGGTTGGACTAGGTCTGGGGGTAGGGGGGGGGGAGATAAAAAATATAAAGGGTAATTCTCGCGACTTTAAAAATACCGTCGACATACACAAAATTATGGAGACCGTGCCCTAAAAATGACTCACATAAACTCCCGATCTGATAACTTCGTTTAAGATTTGGCCGTTTTAATTTATTAAAATATATTTTGAAAATGAAATAAACCTTTATTAATTTTAATTATTTTTTTTAGGATAATGAATGATGCAACAAGAATTAACTATCCAAATTTATAAATATAAAATTATATAGCATTTTTAAAAATTTTAACCATGCTTATTATCATCGCTGATATTAAAAAAATCAGCCATGAGCTTGTCGGCCAATACTCTTAACTTAGTCCGCGGTCATGGCGTGGCGGGTGGTAGCGTGAACCGAAATGAAATAAAATTTGAGCTGCGTCAAATTTGTGTTCCTTATCATATCTATATCACCTAATCGGGATGTTTAAAAAATTATCAAATATTAAATCCCTAGATATGAGCAGGGTTGCCATGTCTCCCCCATCAGTGGGAGTCTCCCACAATTTTTTAGTTTACCCACATACATCTCACTCCCACAATTAGAAATCTCCCACAATTTTTTTTCTAGCATTTTAATGTTTTTAATATATAAATAATAATTTTGAGAGACAGTATTTGATTATTTTTATATTTTTAAAATACATTTTAAATATTTATTCGAAAGATATGTCTAGTTCTTTTATTTTATTCCTCCGCTCTAAAATTTATTTTTTATAAAATTCTCCAATTCGGTATGGGAACGATAAATGTTCCCAACCTGGAGATAATTTTTAATGGAGGAAATAAATACCACGAAATCCTAACTGTCGCTCATAATTTGAAAACCAGTTTTAGGCGGAGGCAATTAGATATTCAAGTTTATAAACTTTTTATAAATATGTTATGTTCTATCTCCCCACTTGTCCCGTACTACTTATTTCTTTTCTTTACGTTTTCTCCACTTGTTTCTTTTGTTTTCTCATCTCCTTTATTTCGTTATGAAATTGATATATTATACCTTATTTTTATATTGCATTTGAAACTGGTCCTTACCAGTTTCATGAATGATTGTATCGCGATTAAATAACAACTTTTTTTTTTCCTTTTTGTTTTAAAAATTATAAAGGTTGAAAACAAAACACCTTTTGGGGGAATTGTTTTCTTTCGTTTTGAAAAATTTATATTTTTTTGTAACATCGATTTTACTTGTTGAATAAACTTTGAAAATATTATTTTAACTACGTTGTCCAAGTGATTTCATGACTAAATCGATAAAACCCGACCCCCTGGATCCCGTCATCCATCCCGGACCCCCAATCACGGACTGTATTTTTCCCATTCAGAAACCAATCGGTCCAAATATTACAAACATAATTTATTTCATTTAATCTATTAATATATGTTTAAAATTATTATACAATTATATAATAAAAAAACAAAAAATTATATAATTGCAATAATATTCAATACGCAAGTTAGCGTATATTGTTTTTCAAAATACCTTTTTTAAATATATAGAGTTATTATAAAATTTTTATCATTCTAAAATCTAAACTATTAAATAAAGAAATAGCTAGTTTTTTATATATATATATATAGAAGGCTTTAACACTAAAAATAAAAAATCGAAAGCCTATTATTTTGATATGGACACTTATCAAAAAAGTGAATTTAGAGATATATTTAATACTGCCTTTTTTATTATAGATTTATAGAACAAAATGATATTAAGAATAATTTTAATAAATTATTTTTATTACATATTTAAAAATTTAATATTAAACATTAAAAAATACTTAATATTTACCATATATAACAATCAAAATAATAATATTTATTAATAGAATTCATGACTTTTTTAGTGGAGTTATAAATTATGGGAACGATGAAACTGGTGATCTTTCTGAAAATAGTATATATTTCTTATAATTTTTGAAAATAAGCATATAAAAATTAGGATATATTTTTAGTTCATATAAATCATTTTTTTAATAAAATAGCACTATGATAATTAATTTTGCTTTAAATATCCTAACAAAATTGATTATCTTTTTATATTTTATATACTATAGAATCCGAGAAAGTGAATAAAAGAAGAAAATATATATGTAAATATAACAAGTTATGGGAACAAAAATATGTTTGGTTGATGAGCCTTACGGATAGCCATGCTAAATGTAGAATATGTTCTGCAGTATTTAGTTACTACAATGGGGGGGAATATGATATTTTGCGACACCAAAAATCGTCAAAGCATAAGTCAGTACAGGGGAGTCTATCAACGTCTATTGCAATACAAAAATATTCTCCAAAAATAATAAATAATACAGATGCAACTACAATTGCGGAAACTGTATACAGATATCATGTAGTTAAACATTTACAGAGCTATCTGTCATCACAATGTGGGTCGAATCTTTTCCCCATAATATTTAACGACTCTAAAATAAGTGCTAACTTTACTTGTGGTAGGATAAAAATGAGCAAGGATATCACAAATGTGTTAGGACCTGAATCCAAAAGGTCAATTCTAGACGATTTGAAAGAAGGACATCCATATGCTATTTTAACAGATGCATCAATAAAACATTTCCCATGATCCTTCGCTATTTCAACAAGAATAAGGGCATTTCTATAATTGAAATTTTTTTCATCCGATAGTGAAAAATCCAACGATATAGCTAACCACATAATGGTAAATATGATTCAGGGTTATCAATGAGTTGCATGTCAGCTTTCTGCGCTGATAATGCCTCATTTTGGCAAAAATCAAAGTGTATTGAGGCAGCACAATAATGAATTAATACCAATTGGCTGTATATGTCATATACTGCATAATTCTTGCAAGAAGGCAATGAATGTACTATCTGTAGATGTCGAAGTAATTGTGATGAAATGTTTTAACGAATTTAGTTCATCAACTAAAAGAGTCACTGAATTAAAAGAATTGGTGGAGTGGTCTGATTTGGAATGGTGTGAGTTGTTGCGATATGTACCTATCATGTGGTTATCATTAATACCTGCCATCGAGAGAATTTTAAAATTTTACGAACCCTTAAAGAAATATTTCTTAAATTAAGATTTTAAAAGCTTAAAATTTTGAAAAATTTTTTCGAGGATGAAATGTCAGAAGCATATTTGGGATTAGTTTCACATGTAGGAAATCTACTTCATGTAGTTAATATTCAGTTGCAATCAAGAAGATTCTTTATTGATTAAGATTCACAAAATCATGCTACAGCTCTGTTCATCTCTACAGTTAAAAATAGATAATAAATTTTATGGCGCTATTGCTAAAAATATCATATTAAAATGTTCAAATATTACTATAATTAACGTATTTTTAAATGAAGCAAATATTTTTATTAAGACAATTTTGGAATATTTACAATCAAGATTTGATTTTAATAACTCTATTTACAAGTGTATAAATATTATGACCTTGGAACAGAAACCATCATTTGATGGTTTTTGTAATTTAATAAATATATTAAAATTACCGATAGACATTGAAGCCTTGTTTGAAGAGATTGTTATATTGTAAAAAAATTAAATTTTTTTTACTTTAGAAAGGGGGGGGGGGTTAAGGGTTAGAGTTCTTCAATTTTTAAATGTTTTGTTGCTGTAAAATATTCTAAGAAATTCTAATCCATTTTAACAAATTATTTATATTACTACTATGGAAAAAATTACATTTAAATACACCATTTAAATTATTATATTATATTTTTTTTCTTTCAAGGGATCAGGGGGGGGGGGTAGTGGTGTATATTAGAAATATTTTACATTATATAATAATTTTCAATATTATTATTATTTTAAACAAAAAGATGAAATGATGAAAATATAGTAATTTTATTATAATTAGTAAAAATAGAGTTTTGATGAAGTGCCGACTGGAGATAAAGTCCGGTCTTAGCCGGGTCGGGTAAAGAAGGAGATTAAAACGGGCCTGGCCCATGTCGGACAGTTAGATAAAAAAAAATTTCTGGACCAAAACCAATCTGAGCGTGGCAATTTGTATATAATCGGGCAGAGTATGATGGCAAAAAATCTTTGATTTTTCTTAAACAATTTTTAATATAGTTCGGGGCATCAAAATTTTGATTAGACACATCATATGTTCCATCCATTTTATTACAATGGTATAGGCACAATTCTCTTTGATTTTTTGAATAATGTTTTTCCTTATTATTTGTATCTTAATAATTTCAGTAATTTTTTTTTCACGTGGCCCATATGACAATAAATTTATAT